CTGTAAAAAAAACAATTAGCCACGATGAAAGTAAAAAATTAACAATTAACGGAGGCCTGAAAACTAGATCACAGCAGTCACATTCCTTTTTCTAATATTTTTATTCCATAAATTCCGGTCTGCTGATCATGGAGCCGCAACATTTTAAAACGTGCACTCTACTTTCCCTTCCCCCAAACTTTTTTATAACTTCTTGCAACTACCAGGACAGATAAAGTTAACTATTCGTTCTTTCTTATTTGAAACGTTCACTTTAGGCCGCGGCACTAACACAGTCACATGAGGAAGAAAACGGAAAATATTGTCAAGTAAAATGCTTCATTGATAAGTAAAAGTGCAGCTAAGCAAAAACCCATGAGTTTCTTACCTTTAAAATTTCCTTAATTGTTCGACGGTCCTGACCAAACTGGCTCTTTAGATCTTCAACATAAAATTTGAAAAGGTCAAGGGGAGTACTACCGGTTTGGGTGAGCATATTGTCAAAACGTGAGTCAGCAGAGACAACAGGATAGAGCTCACTCCAGAGTGACATAGAAGTTAGCTCGCCTAAGTTAAATGGTACATAATGAGAACAAATTAAAAATGAACAAATAAGTAAAAAAGAAAATACATAAGTGAAAAGTATGCTTTTTTTAAAACTAAAACAACCTCTTTTGTGCAATTCATGCAAATAAGCCTGGAATGCTTCTCGAATTTTCCTTTCATGCCTTCTTCTCCTCCTTTCCTCCAGTTCCTTTTCTTTAAAATATTCTCTTTCAGCGGTCCTGATATGATCCTCAAAAACAATGAGGGCATCCTCTTTATCCATCCCTAAATAAAAACGAGGCTGTAAAATAATAAAAGCTAAATATTTTTCTCTATACAATTTTAATTTGAAGCCACCGTATAAAATAAAAAAAGCAAGCAACATTATTTGTACTTTGAAGAGTGCTGTCATTAGCAAAGGCTGGGTTTTCTATGAGAAGCCTCTGAGCTTGAGCCCAAGTAGTTTTGTATGTGATCTCTTCCATGCCTTCCAAGATATCAGCCAAAGCCCTAATATTCCGCTTTCGCATCTTATCAGCGTTCTCTTTTTCCCTCGTTTCAATAAGATCCCAAAATTTACAAGTTAATTTCAAAATTAAAGTGTCGGGGTAACTAAGTAAACATGACAGTCTTATCCAACTTCAATCACCATGAACTAATTTAATAAACAAAAATCGATGACTACTGATACCATAGTGTCGCGATATATCTCCTTTCTTTCGCTTTCATGGACCGCCCTCCAAATCGGCTCTTCAGCAAACAAAACATCAGCTCTTGAGTATCGCATTGTGGTACGAACTCTAGGATTGTTTTGTAACCACTCCTCTAAATCTTCTTTTGCTTTCTTTATTGCTAAACGCCTTTCATCCTGAAAAGTTGCACTACATTCAGAAGTGTCCTACTCTGCACCTCACAGTATGTGGAAAATCACAATAAGTCTTGAAAACATTGGTGTACGGTTTAGACGAGTGGCCAAGAGCAAAATTTTCTCGCCACCGAAATCAGAAATATAGGGCTGTATAATGCAGGACAGTTGGCAAGAGACCAAATGCGACCTAAACTTCCGAAAACACGAATGCCGTTAGCGGCGTACGAAAGTAAGTATTCTAGCTGGTTGCAGTCGCGTGCTATTTTAGGAACTGTCAATGAAAATTTTTTAATACAGGGATTTGAAAGTCTGTTAGTGAATTTATATGGCTACTCACTTGACAAGGAAGGAGCGGATAGGTTCAATATTCTACAGGTATTCTCTAAATCAAATGTGTAGTTTTTCTGAGAGTCTTTAAAGATCATAGCAATATATCAAAATAAGAAAGTTGTACTGTTTCAGAAACAAGTAAAAAATTTAAAAAAAAAAAAGTGGAAAAAGAAATGTTTGCAACAGCACCACCTTATTACAGAGTTACTGGTCTTTTGAGAGCAAACCAGTTAAAGTGGGAAGAACGGCCTTTATGGTATGATGTATATGCTGCCAATCCGCCATTATTGGAGACAAGTTGGAACAGTAAGTACCCGAAGGAAGATCAGCCAGTGAAAAGCATTTTTTACGGGGAAGACAGCGTAAGGGCGTATGTCTTGACTCGCCATTTGAATTGAAAATAAATAAAAAAAGTAGACGAGTTGTACTTAAAGTGACCCCTTGAAATTTTTTTGTATACCGGGCATTGAAAGCATTTATGATTTTTTTTAGAGAATTCTACAAACGTATTCGTTCACTTGGGGCAATCAGTATAGAAAACGAGAAAACGAAATCTCTTTCTCAGTTCTTTATAGAAAAGTATGCCGAAGAGAAAACGAAAAACCCCTCCCTTGATGCAGCCGAATTATTCGAAAAAACAATCAGAACGCTAGATCTGCAGAACGTAAGGTTAAACATAATCAGAAAACAACCACGTCAAAGTGAACCAGGGAAAAGTCAAGAGAAAGCTCTTTAAAAAAATAACTATAGCATACGACGGCGTTTCTATAGCAGTTTGCCTAGTTGTTTCTATTATTCAGGCAATAAAAGTTAATTTTACAATGATGCACAATGCACTGTACAGTCGTAAACCTATTATGAAATTCAAAACTCGCACCCTTTCTTCCTTTTGCCTTTGAACTTTCCAAGCATTGAATACTTGCTTCTTTTCACTGACTTTATTCAGTATCCTAAACCTAGCATCATGTTGAATATACTTCATCGCTTGTTCCCAAGAACTCGTTGAAGTGATTTTTCCTTCGTTGTACTAAACAAAGAAAGGAAGTTTAATTTGGGACGGAACTGAGTTTTGACCACTTTGCAAGATCCATTTTTTAAGAAATTTAAACACACTTTATCCTTTAGTAATTCACGAAACTTTTCTGCTTGTTTCTTTTTGAGTTCCTTCTCCTCGTCAACCTCCTCAGGATTTTCGGCAGTTTCTGTCTTTACATCAGCCTCTTCCTTTGCCTAAAAACTAACTTTTTGCAATTAAAAGAAAGTGTTTAGTCAATAAAGATAGTAGAAGACGCCCCTATCAAGAGAGGTAAGCAAAATTCACCATCTTTTTTATAATAGACAGAAAGGTTTAGATTTTAAAACAGAGCACCGTCCAACTGAAAAGACATTAAAAATTGGTGTAAAAAAGCTTATGAAAGAACAAACCGTCTCCTGCTCTAAGGTCTTTAGAGTGGCCATCATCGCTTTTTCAAGCTCCGACTCTCCATTGGTTTTCGAATCCGCAGAATCGGCTTTCGAAGAACTAGACTTTTCTTCTTAAATTATAATTAAGAATTAACCAAATGAGCTAAGAAAAAAAAATGACAAACCTTTTGAAGCAGATGCACTAGAAACTGGCTCAAATTCCTTTGGCCTCGTCCAGGTTGTCTCCTTGGTCTCGGTGTTGTAGTAATAAGGTCGCCCTTCTGCAGTTTTGTATTCCCTCCATATTCGGGAAACAGCAGCTTTCTTCTGCAATTGAATTAATGAATGTAAAACACAAATGATGATTACATTTTTAAAACACTTTGTGAAATACCAGAAAACTAGCTGTACCTCCTCAGGATTCTTAAGGTCATCTGGCTTTGTCCAAGACGACTGTTTAGTAATTTTATTGTAGTAATAAACGCGACCGTCAGACGCAGTATGTTCAGACCACACCTATAAAGACAATTTGGCTAAGTAAAATGAATGACAACTTAGAGATAAAATTCTAATTGTTATAACATTTAATGACTGACGTCACTCGTAACAGGTGATCCTGTAGCACTTGATGGAGTTCTAGCTGCACTGGCATTTGCTGCAGCAATCTCAGCAGCAACTTGTGGAGCAACCAGCATGGGTCGCGGAGTACTTACTGTCGTCTGCACATGAATTTGCGGCGCAGAACTAACTGCCATCACTAAACAATTATTTTTACTTATTCTAAAAGTATAAGAGCTCTGCAAAAAAATAAAAACAAGAAGAAAAAGAACTATAAATTGAAAAATATTTTTTACGCTATTTATCCAAACGACTAAAATTAATGGCATTCAAAATAAAATTAAATGGTGAGTCAGAAATTAAGAAAATTAAGAACAGAATAAAAATTCAGATATAAAAAAAAGACCATATCATTTATGGTACACCTAAAGAGTTACAAGCATCAGTGTAAAAAGATAATAATATGGTAATCAGTGTAATTTTTACTAAGTTCAAAAAAAAAAAATTCGTTCAAACCTCTGATTCTGATTAAACCTTGTTCTATGATTAGCTTAATAAAAAGATATAAGTATCCAACTCTGACAACAAAGATCCCTTATATCAAAAAATTGATTCAAAAAAGCTTAACGTACTTCCACGAATTGGAGGCATCAAAACGGGCTGCTGAAACAGCGACGCTTGCGGTGGATTGGATGGTAAGTTGATTAAATGCGGGAAGCCAGGAGGCCCACCAAATGGCAACATTTATTTATTTCTTTTTTCTTCTCTTTCCCAACTAATAGCTGTAAAAGTTAAACTGAAAAACAAATTTATAGTACAGCGATTAGCAAAAAAACTGTTAAATATGATTTCCGGTAAACACACAATTATTGTTTAAAAGATGCAGAAACACGAACTAAAAAGAGAAAAAGTTTTACGGTTACGAAGAGACTACTGAACAGAAAGAGAATAAAAGTTAAAAGTATAAATAAACACTAGTCAGGTAAAAATATGATATTATATATATATATATATATATATATA